AGACGAACTATGATTTGCGGAATAAACCGCGATTATTTCCTTAAACGGCGTTAACCAGTTGATCTTTGTAATGGTGAAGAGTAGTGTTTTCTTCGCGGTACGGACTGAATCATTAAATATAATTCAGACGAACTATGATTTGCGGAATAAACCGCGATTATTTCCTTAAACGGCGTTAACCAGTTGATCTTTGCAATGTTGAAGTGAAGTGTTTTCTTCGCGGTACGGACTGAATCATTAAATATAATTCAGACGAACTATGATTTGCGGAATAAACCGCGATTATTTCCTTAAACGGCGTTAACCAGTTGATCTTTGTAATGGTGAAGTGTGGTGTTTTCTTCGCGGTACGGACTGAATCATTAAATATAATTCAGACGAACTATGATTTGCGGAATAAACCGCGATTATTTCCTTAAACGGCGTTAACCAGTTGATCTTTGTAATGGTGAAGTGTGGTGTTTTCTTCGCGGTACGGACTGAATCATTAAATATAATTCAGACGAACTATGATTTGCGGAATAAACCGCGATTATTTCCTTAAACGGCGTTAACCAGTTGATCTTTGTAATGGTGAAGTGTGGTGTTTTCTTCGCGGTACGGACTGAATCATTAAATATAATTCAGACGAACTATGATTTGCGGAATAAACCGCGATTATTTCCTTAAACGGCGTTAACCAGTTGATCTTTGTAATGGTGAGGTGTGGTGTTTTCTTTGCGGTACGGACTGAATTCTTAAATTACATTTGGATGAGCTGAGGGTCGCTGGTTCTACTTACTCCTCTGGGCCAGGTCTCGCTTTCCGTAGCGACCGCTGGTGTAGAACTGAGCTGATAATGCCAGAGTCACCAGTGAGCAGGTCACCAGCATGATCAGAATCACCACACTGCTTGCGGAGGCCATGGTTTCTGCAACGAGAACACAGATGTTACCTTCCGCACGAACAGACAGTATAGTTTACAAAAGTCTCGTTATATCAACGTTCAGTTAATGAATTTTTGCATTTGATAGCAACTCAGCTTGTCAAGAAATTCCCGTCCTTTTATGAAACCCGAAAATCCATTCCCGCTCGTCTTAGGACTGTTTTTGTTCAGTTTTAGAATCGAATAAGTCTTTATTCTTACGCTGAGGTGTTAACAGATGACGTACGATTAGTTTAATTTCCGTTCTTTCACAAACTGACAATGCAGTTAATCTCTGACAAGTTATTTAATTTTCCTTCGTGCAAAATTTCTTATTACAGGCGTTCGGTTCTTACTAGAGCAGTGGTATTCAACCTTTTTTGTTCGCGCACTCCCAGATATAATTTCTCTTCAACTTTGTCCCCCCAAAGTTGTTGGCGTGTAATCCAAGTTATACGTAGTATATAATCTACAGCTAAAATAAATTAAATAAATTATATTACTGATTATTCAGTGCTTATCATAAAATAATATATATATTTTTTTAAATTTCACGTACCCCTTAAGATGTCTTCGCGTACCCCCAGATATAATTTCTCTTCAACTTTGTCCCCCCAAAGTTGTTGGCGTGTAATCCAAGTTATACGTAGTATACAATCTACATCTAAAATAAATTAAATAAATTATATTACTGATTATTCAGTGTTTATCATAAAATAATATATATTTTTTTAAATTTCACGTACCCCCTAAGATGTTTTCGCGTACCCCAGGTTGAATACCACTGATCTAGACGACTGTTAGATCTTGATTCCAAATAAGACTTTGATGTCTATATTTAAGTGTACATGTTCAACGTGCTAATTATGAGCCTAATTAGGTTTGTAGACTGATTTTTGTCGTGTGTAATAAAATATAAAGAAACAGTGTTTTGGAAACGAAGGGCTGGTCCATGTACCAGGAAGTGTCGAGAATCACCCACGTCGAGTGGAACATGACTTTGAATTACCGACAGCTGTGACTTCATGACAATGAAAAGCCATGGACACGTCGTGTCGGTTGATTCAATCCCACAAAAATTGTAGGTTTATCCTCTGTTTTATTCATAGTCACGGTTCAATTATAAGGCTTGTCTCTCGTCGCGATTCCGCGCCGGTAATCCGTTTGCGGTGTTTCCAGACACGCCCCATATAATTGTTAACAACCTGTTGCAGGCCTTTGTTCGTGCTCAAAACCCGAAGAACTCCCGTCTTCAAATTAGGCATCAAAGTCGTTCTCATATGAGATTATGGGTTCTCATCGCATTAAAGATGTCGAAACTGATATTCTTGTGTGCGTTTGTATGTAAAAAACCAACAATTTGCGAGGAATATACTCGCTCCATCTTCAAGGTTGAAGTTTGTGACGTTTGTTTGATGAATTTTATAGTTCCGAGCGATTAGGTCTTGTAGATTTTAATGTCACCAGTAATACTAATAAGATTTAGCAGAAGTTTCAATGACAGTCATCGACGCGAGACGAAAATCATTAACCCCTTTGTCGTGGTGTTTATAAAAATGTATATTTTTAAATTCAGTATATTACAGGGATGTACACCCGGACTACAATGTTAATAAGACTTCTTTTCTCACTGCCAGGGAATTGGCATTTAAAGATTAAACGAGTACAAATAGGGTAATGGTGGGATATAACGGAATCTTACAAGTGATGTCGTGATAAACATACTTTCTCTAACTTCAGAGCTGAAGTCAGATTTGATTGATCTCAACTGGCGAATTGTTATTGTAGAGTTGGATGAAAGTCGATCGATACACAACGTACAAAGTTATGTTGGTGTCCGATTCTGGGGTCGGGCGTCTCGATATGGTTAATAATAACGTGAACTTTAATTCTGCCTGCTGTTAAAATCAAATTTGTGTCTACCTTCGAAAACAAGACACAGGTTTGTTGTTGGAAAATGGCTACTGGGTAGAGTGAGAATTAGGAGAGAAGATAACATTAAGATGTATCTTATGGAAGTTAATGAAGTCTGGAGATGCAAGTCGCTCAGGATCGGGCTTTCGTATTAACTATGTTGTAGGATGTCGATATCTGGTCCAGAGGCTACCGACTGGCTTTTTCGTCTCAAGGGAGTAAACTTTCCTCTGTCCATGAACAGATCAGGGTGTCTCTGTAACCAATCGCGAAGTTCGACCACAGCAAAGGCAGCCATTACTGGATGGAGTCTACCGTTGCGAACATTTTCGTTTCAGTGGCCCAGGTTCGTTCAATCTGGTTTTCCTTTGACTAAAATGTCCGTCACTTCTCGACGCCGTTGCGTGAAAGTCTAAGCAGAACCAGAGAAACGTTTGTGTGTTTATGTCTGGTGAGTAAGAGGTCCGGAAGGAAGGGTGGTACTCTTCAGTTAACAAAGGACAATCGGTAAAAGTTTGGACACGGCCTTGAACGACGCGCACATAACACATTTTCAGTTTCAGAGGACTCAAGGTCACGCGTTTCATTACAACCAGAACTACTTCAGTGGTGCAAAATGTGCGTTGTCTATCTATAGACGTCACAAATAGACAACAATATTGCAGTGTTGTAAAACTGATCACCCGGAGTAGGAAATTATTTAATATATTTTAATAAAATCAAAATACGACCGCCACGGTGGTCTAGCGGTCAGAACGCTATCCTTGTTATCCTGGGGTCTCGGGTTCGATTCCCGGCGGTGCCCGAATTTATACCTTGTGTTGGCCAAGGCCGTGGTCTCGGCAACACGGAGTTTTCCTCCGTGGCATCCCAACAATTCCTCCATTCACACACAGAAGAAGGCAATGGCAACCCACTTCTGGATCATCTGCCAAGAACGTATATGAACAGGTCCCAGTCCGAGAAAAGGATGGAAGGATCCTGTTCATATGGACCTGTCGTCACACAGAACACTACAAATAAATAGTGTTAATTCTGTAAGAACCCTAAGATCGTCTCCAGAACATCATCAGCTGTGATAATTCACGCCCACTCTATGAATATCTGGCAAATATAAAAGTCTCTTTTACTGGTAATCAGGCGAATTAAATTATTTGTGTTCATCAGTGTGAATGTGGCACACCTCGTCAAATTACGTGTTCAACAGATACTGGGGGAAACCGGGGTGCATTGGTGCAGCTATTAGCGGACTTCAAAGAAAGATTATGTTTCAATCAGGAGAACAGTACAATGTTGTAATTAAATTTGGAGTAACAACAACAAAAAAACAATAAAATGCGGGTAGACTCATTCACTTCGATCCGCAGTTGCAAACAGGATTTTACTTCTAGAGACTACATTGATTTTGTTCGGTTATGGAGACATCAGTGTAAATGTTTTTATTGAAGATTACAATCTTTTGGGACTTTTCAGAGGTTCTGGCTGCCTCTGAAATATCATTTAGCCAGTAAATAAATTCACCTCCCTTTGTGGAACCCGAAGGCTCATTATCGTGTTTAAAGGAGCCCGCCATATTGATCCTGTTCACATCTCACCCTCGTCTTGGTAACGGATAAATTAGTTTAACCCTTTGAAGTCAAAGCTCGTCTAAAATTTAGAAGAATTTTGATTCTAAATAATATTTAACTATTCAGACCCTACCGCGAAGAAAACACAAATCTTCACCATTACAAAGATCAACTGGTTAACGCTGTTTAAGGAAATTATCGTTGTTTATGAATCTAGTCCGTACCGCGAAGAAAACACCACACTTCACCATTACGAAGATAAACTGGAAAACGCTGTTTAAGGAAATAACAGCTGTTTGCGGTTTTAACCATACGAAACTCTCAAAAACTGAAAAGAGAGTCACTTATTGTTGAAGCAGGTGTTATCATTTGTCTCAAAAGTGTTTTTGTGTGTCGTATTAAGAAAGTCGCAGGGGGTTGGTCACAACCTGGTACGTGTTGGGCCCGCGTGTCCAGTTTCATATGACGCGAACACCCTCCGGTCTACGGGGCGAACATTTTTCACGAAAAACAACACCGTGAGCGAGATGTTGGGTGCTTGGCTTGCGGATAAGAAGGGCCCAAGCACATCTGACAATTGATTTCTTTTTTTTGTGTTCTGGCGGAAGTGTGTCACGGGGAAAATAATTGAATTATCGGGAGGAAGTTAAGAAGAAATGACGTTTAAACACTCCTGTGAACTTTGCGTTCCAACTGTGGCATTGTTGTAAGCCTTCTACCTACCGACAAACATTTTAGAAGAGGGACGCATTTACAATGCACTCGCTGTTAAAATAAGAATTTGGAGTTTAGAGTTTCCAGACGCGTTCTCTTTGATTTATCATCCTTGCTGTTTTTAATGTTCGTTAATTGCATATTACAATTTAATGTCAAAAAGATTTTCGTAACAATTGAACTATTGTAGTTTAATGTAAAAGAAACGAGGCACGTGACTTTAACTCAAGAATCATTTTGTATGATTATTGAGCGAAATATTCACAGGAGATTAAAATTTCGTTCGATTTTAATTTCAATATTTGATGTCAGGTTCCGAACAATTTAAGGTTAGGTTAGGTTTACCAAGTTTCAGTTTGCATGCTCAGGTTGGCTAGAGAATTTTATCGGACTTAAATATGGAGCGAAGTTTAAATGTAAAATTTTTTTTTTGCACGAATTACATTGTTTAACAACACGTGACCTTTTGTGCGTGGTAGGTGAATGATGACGGCTATGGCATTAGGAAGTGACTGATGAGGGACATACCTTTCCATCAAGAGACTGTCAATTTCCTGTTTGAGGAGTTTCTCTTTTGTTTGGGAAGGTGACGTCATCGTATCGATGGTAATGGTATTGTTCATTGTGGCAGCTGACTGATTAGTCACGGCCTGTTGGATATGATGTCTCAGAGGAGACCACAACCTAATTGCGTTATTGCGTCATACCTCTCCTCCATCCGTCGTCACACACTTTTGCTACAAGGCCTCTGGATTAATTTTAACATTTTAAGTCCAGTGGTAACTATATGTACCACTTACATTAACATTC